GRWTTTTKRAAAAAAMMAMMAAWKAAAACAATATTTAAATTTAAATTTTTGATCAAATTGTGCCTCTGTTATTTTGTAAACAATTTATACWTTATATCTTTTCAGCAAAAGCAAAGTTGATGATCGTATTCAGTCATGATATATTTTTTTCAATACACTTTCCATAGATATATAATATATGTCTATGACCTTTCATACGTAGTCAATAATTAACAGTAAACTACTAAACACACGACCGATAATTCTGGGGAAACGAAAAATCAAAAATATGCATAGGACACAACCACACAGATTTGTGTCTATCGTCTTATCGTGTAAAACTGTCAAGTTTTTGAAAAACATTCTTAAAAGTTCAAAATATAYCTACCTCCGCAGTACCAAAAATAAACAAGGATTACTATTAAGATTGAATAAATTTGTTATAAATACGTAACTAATATTTAAAAATAAAAAACCAATTAGATTGAGTTAATAGGTACCAACGCCACTAAAGATGCTACCTATAATAATYKTGTRCCGGAAAAATAAATAACGGCAGAGAAGTCGTTCACAGCGGTATTCTGTGGATTCTCGATTATGTTCTAAGAAAAACAATTTAGTGTGTACCTTGAAATTTACCAAAACAAACGCTTCAGCGTACACTATAATTGAAAAWTTGTACACTTTTTGTCAAAACGAACATGGCTAATGATTTCATTAGATTTTTAGGAACCATAGATTTTTCTGTGTGAATTAAAATATATTAGAATTTATCTCAATTTTTAGAGGTACATGAACGATTTTATTCGTTTCTTTTTTTTTTCGTTAATTTATTTWTATAAAGATAGGRAATCTAAATTATTCTTARWKCAAGGTATAAAATATAAATTTTTTCTTTTAGAAATTAAGTCGATAATACTGAGCTAGGTATATAATTAAACATACATATTATATCACGACAATATTAACAATGTTTACAAAATGTCAAGTCAGTCACTCGGCCTTAATTTATATGAAATAAATATTTAAAATACWAAACAACTACCTAAMTAGAAATTTCATCACTATAAATTATACTAATAAYACAATTTTAAAATTATTGAGGAACGATAAAAATATTAACGAATCAGAATACAGCACAACCTGCTAAGACATCCAACTAGTCAACTGACTTATTGTTATTTTTATCTTATTATTATTGTATTTCATTTTTACCAATTAATAGGTACATAACATGATATGAATTAGGTAGTAATAAACGAATAAAAATAGAATTCAATGATACGTTTAAAAKTATAACACTTCAAGAAATACACGCAACTATGACTAAATTATTGATGGTATACGTATACAAATATGAATCCAAGAACGAATAAATAAATACTATATGAGAAAACACATTCAAGAAACTTTTCTCTATTTTTATATACATTTTTATTAATCATTATGATGGTTACCAAAAATATCAGAGTAAAATGTGAATTACGATACTTGTCGATACTTAAAAATCGATTTAAATACAACAAACTTACGTCTTTTTCTTCGCTGTATTCTCTTAACAAATTTATCGCTTCCTTCTGACAATCTTTTTCACCATAATTGCACGTGCATAAAAATCCTTTCATATCTGGTTGAAGATTAAAACGATTGTCCCTAAAGTTATACTTCTTTTTACCATATGATTTAGTCGGACGAGCTGCCATGATTTTAACAAACTCTGTTTTTGTTTATATAACTGGTTCAAATAATCAAATATCAAAACAAAAAAATTTAAATGATTTATAAAACAGAGCTATTTTCTAGGTTTTGTAATTATAATGCATACATTACGTAGACTCACCTACACTACTTTAAAAATTAAATAGAAATTAATTTTACAATATTCAAGTAATAAGAACACAAATATACAAGACGTAAGCACGCAGTAAACTGCTAGACGATGGAAATCTCAGTCTGAAATAAGAAATAACGAAAAGTTAACTGCTGAATTTATTTATTCCGGCACGATCACTTTACTATTGATAAATGATAATACGGTGATTGTAGCTTATCAAGGTCTTTACACTCAATGTTGCCTGAGCGAGAATGTTAAAACGAGATGGCGAATAGGTATATTGGGCATTATAATTTTGTTTAACATTTGGCGCCAATGCATAATTTTATTTTATATCACTTTGTCAAGTATGAAATAATAGCAGTTATGYGGATTGATTATTTGTATCATAATTATTGAACATTTAAATATTTATTTTTAATATAAATAAACATGTATATATTATATGATACACATTTTGAATTTTGATTGTTTAACAATTAAATCTTACATCTAATCAGATTTAAAAAATTAAACTGCCAGTTTAATTGACAATAAATTTATACATTTTTAGCATTAAAAAACCTGTTGATTTTATTTACTTATTTATTTATTTAAAAAATATAGTATACAAATGAAATATAATGGTCTGAAATATGAAATAACTATATTATATTAACTCTTCCATTTAATAGTTATTAGTTTTTATGAAAAATATTAATTGTAATAATTAATTATATTATAAAAACCTTAAGGAAATAGAATTATTTTTTTCAAAGTTTAGATTTATTGATAACTCCAATATTTGTTTATAAATATTGAATGGATAGACCAGCAGTTAATATAGCATATGTAAGTGGCGTAACCAAGATTTATTTATTTTTAATGGGTTTGGGAAAATAAAGCATATGCAGAAAATTAATTTTCAGTAAGTATTTGATGGTAAGAAAGGAGTATGGTAAATTAAGTTTATGATTAAAATCTTAAAATTAAATTATTTAAAATTAATTTATAGATTTTGCATGTTGGAAAATAATTTATGCTCATAACGCAATTTAAGATAGTTCAGTGGCTCATAGCCCATACATAAAAATGTCAGGGGATCACAACCCTCCCATCCTAGAATGCCACTGGTATATATTATGTTAAATAAACTTCCTCAAAATTGTATTCTATGTTCATTACTGACTGGAAGGATTTGTGTCATCTGATGTATTTTCTGTAACATACAGAAACTTTAAATTTTATTGAAACAAAATAATACATAACTTCTCCCTCTTCTTTCCSGATTTCTAACTTTAGTACTACCTAAAAGGATTGGTATCCTCATTCTGWCATTTTTCCTGTAATATAATAAACTTTAATTAACAACAAATTTTTAATACATTTTATCAAAACTAAAGTTACTTTGTTTCTTCTTTTTTGCCTGACCCTCTCAATCATATAGGGTCCTACACCTTCAAATAGCCCTTGTTTTAACTTCTCCTATACACTCACCCGATATTTTCTTGCCATTAGTTCATCTATATTTTACTCTTTYTCTTCTTCCTATATTTTCTTTTGCTTTTATTTCAAATAATTATACAAMAAATTTCAAATAGCAACATATCTACCTATATTTTGTTTTAATTAAAAATGAATACTTAAAATTATTGATATATCTATATATTAAAGAGTATTCATGTATCAGACTGATTAGAATTATAAAACTATTAAAATTATGTTCTTTCATAATTGTAAATTAAGCTTGATAACATATTTCAATAAATAGTAAAATATTAAAAATAAACTTTGATATAAACTTCAATTTGGAAAGTGTTTTGAAATTTGTAAAACTTAAACACTGGTTACTGGTAACTGATGAGGTTACAAGATCCGAAGAGCAGAGAGATCTGTACTTTGTAGGACCTAGAGTTTTGCACCCAGACTTGGTAAACGTCCAAATAGGTACCACAAAAAACACACTATGATTCATGACTGATACATGTGTTGACAATACGAGTATATGTAACGCATGTTTGGAGGGATAGAGGGAATTAGATACCAAATAACAGATAGGTTGGAAGGAAACTCAAGCAAATGCCATCTGAACCACTTTATCAGGGATATATTATTATGTAATAAATAAATGTGAAAAGTGAACAAAAAAACAATAGGTAACTTCCTCATGATACATATTATTGATAGATAATTTTAATATTTWAAAAAAAAGTATGAGTTACACTTGAATGTTAATAAATATATTATTGCCTACAAACTTATAAATATAAAATTTTACAGTAAACCATTATATTATTAGTAGGTACATTATAACAAATTTAAATATAAATTACTTCAACAGTTTAACAATGACTAGAATTGTAATAAATCTTGATAGGAAACCTAGTTAAATATAAATTGTAAGTATTGTTTAACATTTGTTATTTACCAAAAGTTAAATAAATAAAATAATAATACATACCTATATATTACCTGCTCAATAACTAAATTATATATTAGTTTTTACTTTTTAGCAATACTTACTCAAAAATTCAATCTTAAAGGAGMACACAACACAAAAAAAAAAAAAAAATTTAAATTATTTTTAAATGTTAAATTATTGTAGATATGGCCATATGAAATGATTTAGTGAAAATCTGATGCAAAAAAATTATTACTTTAAGAGATATTATAAAATGTAAAATAGCCGCGTGACGTCATTGGACTCTACTCTTCGTAATCGCCTATCTTATACGTGTAAAAGTTCCTCACTTCTCACAACGATTTACCCACCTAAACATTTTATTTTTGAAAGTTAATTTACGTATAAATGTGTGGTTTTGTGTGTTTAAGACGACGCAAGAATCAGAATTTCTATATGACGTTTAGTTTTTTAAATATTTAAAATCTTAAAAGTGATATTTTTGTTAAACGGCGCTCCATGGCGATTTAAATATGAAATAAATTCCAAAATTTCTCTTTTAAGATTTTAAATATTTAAAAAACTAAACGTCATATAAAAATTCTGATTCTTGCTTCCTCTTACACACACAAAACCACACATTTATATGTAAATTAAATTTCATAAATAAAATGTTTAAGTGGGTAAATCATTGTGAGAAGCGAGGAACTTTTACACGTATAAGATAGGCGATTACGAAGAGTTAGGCCCAATGACGTCATGCGTCTTTTTTCAATTRCTCATAACTTATTGAATAATGTGAGTAGAAACGTAAAACTTATAACATTATCCTTATAATTGAACATTCTTTCAAATAAAAAAAACTTAATTTTTGTGTTGTGTGCTCCTTTAAGTATAAAATAAATTGTCAATTGAATTTTTAAAATATTTTAACCACTTTAACACAATAAGTAAGATAATATGATCCTAACTAGCATTACAACAATGTGTTTTTAATTTTTAATAAGTTTAAATCAGTAAAAGTTTGTACATTTTTAATTATTTCTTAGCTAAAATGAATACAATATTGAAAGAAAATATTATTATTGGTTTTAAAAAAGAAACACAATAATGAGCTTAATGTATAAGTTAAAAGTTTTATGAGTTAATGTTAATTTATTAAAAAAACAAATATATTATTTATTATCTGTTTTAAAATATTTAGGCATGAAATACTCTTTAGAATTTAGAATATTGAAGTTAACATTTTTATAAATTAATACAGTACATATCTAAAGGCCCTGGGAAGTTGTTGTTACTTTTTAAGAACACTTACTTCAGTGGTATGTAAATAAAATCAATTTATCTATTATCTATGAGTCATAGACTATGACTATCACATTTTAGTTATATAATGTGTTTCATTATCATCACTAGTGGTTGCTCTGGGTCTAGACTCTAGAGAAGTGGAAATATGTTTGATGTTGGCAATTTAAATATACAAATAGTATGAACTATGAGTATCGGCGTAATATAAATGCTCATTTTGTAATTAAAAAAAAAGTAATACAAAAGCTGACTGAGATGGATATCTTTAAATTTAAAGGTAATTATTATGAATCATTTAATTTTAAAAGTTTTGGTAATAGCTTGGTTTACCTAAAAATAATCAAAACTAATATTATCTCACATTTTTTTAACATAACTTTGTTGTGTTCCAAATCTTAAAAATGCATATCATTCACAATCATCGTTAACTATTAAGTCATGTTCTTCGCTCATTCTCAAAAATATGAAATTCATTGTAACATTTTTTGAAAAAAATAACTGTTTTCTTTAGTATCATAAATTAATTGAATAATTTTAAAATCAATAAATAACTAAATCAATAATATCATTGAGCAACCACTGTAATAAATATTGACAACGCATTATTGTGAATCTTGTAGTTTCCTAAGGTTTAAAAATTATAAATAAAATTGTTTCAAATATGATCATTATGAAATACTTTCTTAGAACTATACATATTTTTAAATAACTAATGGAAGAAAAACTAAAGCAATTTTTTTTATAAAAATTAGTAACTTCAACTAAAGTCTTAACTTAAACTATTTGCTATTAAAAAATATAATTATTTATAATTCTGTTAGTAAATATTTGTTCCTTAAGGGAAGAATTGATCAATATTTATAAATGTGGGGATAAAAATATTGTTTTTTTCTTTTATGTATGGTTTAAAGGACCTGTAAATATTATTATCTGTATTTTTTTTATTATTGGAAAATGAATGATATAGTATAAATTATCAAATTTTGAAAATCTATACCTAAATGTTTCTTAAGTAATTAGAAACTTTTGCATTTTTTTAAATTAGAATAATCACTACTCTCTAGCATATTCATTTTAGATAGTGAGATCTTTATTTGGTAACCACACATTAGGTCCTGAATGTTCATCAATAACATTTTTTACTTTTTCAAAAATGTCTTCAAACGAATCACCTTTTACAATAGCTGTAAATTTTATTGAAGAAAACATATTCAATGAAAGAACAAATGTGAAATGTTATTTAATTCTGTTTACCTGTTAAATATTCATTATAATCTTGTTCAACTTTCATTTCTTGATCATAGATTTTCTTTGCACGGTCTTCAGTCATTTTATCACTTATTTTCCTGAATATTAAAAAAAAAACACACTTACAATTATTTATATTTTTGAAATCGACAAATTAATTAATATTTAAATTCTTATTACTTACATTATAAAGTCCAGAGAAGATGCTTTAATAAAGATGGTAATAGGATACAAGCCAGCTGCTTGTAAACGTTTAATAGCATTGGAGCTTACATCAAGAATGCAGTGTTTGTTCTATATACATTTAAAGGAAACAATTAGAATACTTCACAACACTATATAATACAGGAAAAAAAATGATACATATGGAATATWGTATTTATTATACTTGTTCAGCAACTTCTTGGACTGAAGCTAAGGATGTTCCGTATAAATTATCATTAAACTGACCGGCTTCAATAAATAAATGTTCTTTAATATCACGCTCCATTTGTTCGCGTGATTTAATAAAGTGATAATGAACACCGTCAACTTCTCCTTGCCGAATTTCTCTTGACGTGTCTATGTAATGTACAAAATATTTTATGATTTTTGTAATAAATAGCTAATAATGTATAAATAATTACGAGGTACACATGATCCAAACTCTTCAGGATATTCTGATATTAGATGATCGTTTATTTTGTCTTTGTAAATTCCAACTACAATGACAGGGCGACTATAGTTTAAGGTTTTCTTAATAACAGATTCATATGGTAAAATTGGTTCTTCTAAAATATAAATATACAACATTGAATTACATTTTTGAATT